TTTAACCAAAATAAACTACTCTCCATTTCTCTTCTCTCTCACCCCTGCTCCCAAACAACTCTCTGGTACCGTTAAATCGTGCTGACCAAGGCAGTTATTTTCCACCAAAATAGCCACTGAAAAAGCAATATGGTATTGAAATTTTTAATTAACAAACAGAAATTGTAAAGGCCAGGAACGCAGATCTTAAAATAACAGAACTCATCATCTATGGTCATTGTCAAGGATCGAAGTTTATGTTGTGTCCTCCACGATCCTCATGCTTTCCGGTTATAACTTACAGGATATCCTTTCTGAGGTCTTAATTTTCAGGATGCCCTCGGGGCAGCTGTGAGTTCTGATTTTCAGGATATAATTTTGGGATTTGCAGCTCGGACAATTAGATCAAATAACCACAATAATGAGCGGACATCGATTTGTTATGTCGAATAAAATATGATTTGTCAGAGGCGTGGTGCGTAAAATTGGAAAGGCCGGAAGAGGATGCAGAAACTGGTCGGTGCTAACAGAGAGGAAGCCGCCTTCGTCGACGGCACTGGAATTGTAAAATTGTGGATTCTACATAATTATTAGCGCAAAAGCAACACATGCTTGCACTGAAAGAAAACAACGATTACAGATGCATTCTGGGCAATTCTTATGAGTATTCCAGGATAGTGATTTTATTCTGGTGCTGCCAAATGTCGATGGTAACTATATTAAGACCTTTGGTCCTCGGCTGCGTACCTCTAGTTAGTACCCACTGCCTGTTCGATGTATGTGCGTCATCTTTTCGTGATCTGTCCGAGTGGTCGCTTACTTTCTCGTGAGTACCAATCAATAATGCGTGTTGCCCGTCTAGCAATACTCATCTAATTTTACTTTTAGTGGTTCACTTTTTCAAGTGCTCATCTGATTTTACTTTCTAAAGTGGTCACAATGATATCTCGCACGTCACTGTATAATTATAGACTATGAAAAAAAAAAATGCTTTATGAAGAAAATCTTTAAAATTCCAAAATAACTTCACCACCCTATAATTAAATAAAATCCGTTAGTCTGAAATCATTTTACTGTTTTTTAAAAAATACTTTCAAAAAGATGAAAAACCGTGTCAAAATTCACAAAGTACCTCACCCATGCGGTTTGTCCAAGAGACAAACAACCCTACCTCTCCTCCTCTCCCGCGGTAGCCATTGTCCACTCGTTCCCATAATATCAAAAAAACAGTGCATAAAAGAACCGCAGTGAAGCGCAGAAGAGAATGGACATCCACCACCAACGGGGCGCATCAAATCTGCGAATTGTGGTTGTGTGGAC